GCTTAGAAGTTATTTATTTTCCGAATATGTAAATACTGAAATATATTCTTTATTAATGAAGGGGATTTATGGAGACTGTATTATTTTCGTAGTTCAAAGCACGCCCTAATCTAACACAATGCTAATGAGTCCCCCCATATAAGGATGAAACGGTCATCTAGTGCTTTCAGGTTGCTAATAGTGGTCTAGCCCAGATCGATTCGTGATTTCGGTCACGAAAATACATTTCTTTTTATATTGAATATTTGTTTTAATTAACTTACCTATATTGTTTGTCTCATAAACTGACCTAATTACAAAATAATTCCACATTTATTTGAATAAAAGTTTAATGAGGAAATTTTCATTGAAACGGTTTCATTTTCAAGTTCTAAACTAAATAAGTAATAATAATAATAATATGATGATGATAGATTTGTTTGTTTGTAAGTATGAATGTTTATGTAATAAAATGAATGTGGTTTTAATAATCAGAAACAAAAGTAAATTAATAAAATGATTGTTTGAATAATGATGAAATGAAATGTAAGTTGATGAGAAGAGTGAAGGTCAAAGAAAATATGAAATAAAAAAGAAAACTGTGATGTCAATTCTTTGAGGTAAGATAACCAACCAGGAGGGACAGTCAATTGCAGTTACGAACGATTAAAACCTAATTTAATTTAATTGACCATTTTGTAATAAAACGATACAAGAAACAAATAGTTTTGTATATTTAAGGATGAAAAAAGCATGTCCATTTGTTGTAAGATTATGAAGAAAATGCGAGCCATGACAGCGAAAGCGATCAAGGCACATAGTTCGTATTTCTTCAAAACTAAGAAGATATTCATGTACAAACTTTCGTAGACAGTATCCATACCTGTGAACAATATCCAGTAGTAAGAAATCTACTAATCTATAATTTTATACGTGTGATTTACGTACTGGTACTTACTTATATCTGTTACCTCCAATGGGGCATAGGCCGTCGATCAGCATTCTCCAACTTCTCTGTCCTAGGTCTTCCTTCCTAGTTTCGTCCAACTGCTGTTCGTCCTTCGCATGTATACTTCCGTTTCTCGGCATAATGTGTTGTTTGGTCTTCCTCTTTTCCTTCAACCTTAAGGAGTCCAGGTGAGGGCTTGTCTTGTAACTCAGTTGGGTGGTTTCCACACTATGTGCCCTATCCACTTCCAGCGCCTCTTCCTTAATTCTTCTTCCGCTGGAATATGTTTGGTTCTATCGAGCAACAGGTTGTTGCTAACAGTGTCTGTCCAACGGATCCGAAGTAATTTACATAGACAACTGTTTATAAATGCTTGTATCTTTTGGATGATGGCTTTCGTGGTTCTCCAAGTTTACGCCACAAACAGTAGAAATATCTTGACATTTGTGTGTTGGCTTTGGTGTTAGTTGATAATTATTCTGAGGTCCAGATGTTGTTCAGCTGAAGAAATGCTGCCCTTACTTCGTCAATCCGCACCTTCACATCTGCATCAGATCCACCGCGTTCATCGATGATGCCACTCAGATACGTAAACTTTTCAATATCCTCCAAGGCATCCCCTTCAAGTGTTATTTGGTTGACTCATATTGTGTTGTATCGAAGGGTCTTGCTTTACCCCCTGTGTATGTTGAGACCTGCTGGTATCGAGGCTGCTGCTACACTTGTCGCCTTTCCATGCATTGGTTGCTGTATGTGCGACAGAAGACCAGGATCATCTGCTGCATCCTGGATGTCCAAAGTATGCAATGATTTTTTCCAGAGTTTGACGTCGTCATAATCCAGTCGACCACCAGGATTAAGAGAAAAGTTGGGGATAAACAGGATTGTCTAAAACCAGTCTTCACTTAGAATAAGTCTGTGAGTTGTCCTCCATGCTCAGTCCTGCAGTTTTGTCCATTAAAAGAATTCCTTATGATGTTGACTATCTTCTCAGGCAGGCCGTAGTGTCGAAAAGGCCTGTCCACGCTATCAAATGCTTTCTTGTAGTCAGTGGTGAATTCCACTCAACTGATCGTTCCATAATGATCCGTATCTTTGCTATTCAGTCGATACATGATCAATCCTTACGGAATCCAGCCTGTTGATCTGGATTTTGAGCGTCTACGAAGTCCTTCATTCTGTTTAACAACACCCTGTTGAAGACTTTAATAAAAGAGTGATGCCTCTGTAGTTCTCACGCTTGCTGAGAACGTATTGGCAGCCTACGATTTTCCACGTGTTTGTTTTAATAAAACAGCGTATATCATACACCAAATAAATGAAAAAGCACTAAAGTTTTACAGACAGTTTAAATAAACTAATTTATTTTTTTCAAAGGATAATTATTTTCTTCATATATGCTATTGGAAACTTTTATAATTATATATTCGATATTTTGCAATGAAAAAAGCAAGTAACAATCTTATCACTTTTCGTGTATATTATAATAATAATCTCTGTTGACACTGATTACTTCATTCGCTAAACCATTGTATTTTGAGTTGTAAATAAAACATACAAATAAGAATAGAATTCTGACAGATTTTCACATTCATATTCGTCCAATTCAACTGTAACATCCTCTGCTGACTACTATAATCTTTTCAAATAAGTCAATAATTGTGTTTACGAAGAAATAAAATCTTTTCACTTCTTATAATTATAGTATATTTAAATTTACAAAGTGTTTTATGATTAACAGTCAAGATCAAATTTACTAATAGTTTATATTTAATTTCAAATTTATTTCATTTATTTCCTTTTAGGTGACGGTGTTTTCATCAGCTTTCATGTTACTTGGCCTAACAACAAGTCGATTTCTAGCTGTAGTATTACCATGGCAAAATTTGAAAATGACAGAAATACAAGCTAAATTGGTGTGTTTTGGAGCTTGGTTAGGTAATTATTTACATAAATGTTTTTGTAATTATGTTTAGTGCGCATGTTTCTGATGTCTATAAAGGCTAGTTTACAACATATCTCTTTCATCTCATTCAAACTACTCCTCCAACTTCGAAGTGTTTCAATTGTGAAGACCATAGATTTCCTATATTATAGAATACCTAGGAATTCCTAGAATTCCATTAGTATCTAAAGATTTTACATATCTGTGATTATGATTAGTCTGAAGTCTAGTCTCCTTTTAAACTCGCTAAACATTTTTATATGTAATAGCTTTCGGTTATAAACATACGAAGTATATTGACTCACACTAGAAACCAATATGAGTTTATTGAAATGAATAGATTTTTCTGAAATTGTCTCGTATAAATTTGGAAAGCAAGTAGACAGACTGTTTCTGTTAGAAGTATATTTGTAAAAAGTGAGGCAATATCTAATGAAAACACATCTTCTTTCCGATTACACTGACATTTGATATTAAATCAAAAAAAATTATACAAATCAGCAGCGGTATATTATCAACTAAGTTGATTTCTGACTGACTGTAGAATCTCAACTAGCCATATAGCTGTCTATGTCTAGCAACAGGAAGTAGAAGTTTTTCTTTCCAATGTATTTTAGGGAGGACATGTAAACGTGAGACAACGGATTCAGTCGGTTTAAGTTTTTCACGGAGATCTCTACTGATAATTGATTCATTTGTCATTTTCTTAAGAATTTTAATTAGTTTCTACTCATTTTATTCTGTAGCATATTAGTGAACTTTTTATTTCAGGAATTCGTTAGTGTCAGATAGAATGACGTGTACTTTTGTTATGCAGTCCTTTCTATTCATAATAACAATCCCAGTACCTTTATCTTGGCGACGCTAACATCAAGTCTTCGTTTCTCAATAGATCCAATAGTTGGGATTTATGTTCATTAGACAGTAGGTCTGATAAATTTCCAATCAACATTTGAATAAAATACGAGGATCTTTTTCAATTTTATCGTTATAAAACAGCATATTCCAGGTAAAAACAAAGACAAAACCAAATGATTCTCATAGCATAAACAGTGAAAAAAAATGAGCTTAGTGAGCTTTATACATATATGTATATAACATAATTAGAAAATTTTCGAAAGCTTTCAGTGTATAAGAGGATATACAACCAAATGAAATTTCGGTAAGAAATATTAACTGAATCGCTTATCAAGATGCTATATAAATACAAACTAATTTTTAAAATATGTATTTCTCGTAGATTATTTCATTTTATCAAAATTATTGTCTCGTATAAACTCATATCTACTTGTGTATAACAGTTTATCCTTTTTTCTCATTATGCAAATGTTTCAATGAAACGATACTATGATAACAGTAGTGTGCATCCTGGAAATTAATCTTAATTTTTACAGACAATATAATCAAATTGATACAAATCGGTCGATACTAATAATGATAAAAAAAGAAAAATGACATTCAGTTTTACACAATCTAAACCAATATGATTTCTAAGTAATTGCAAAATGATCATCTTAGATTACAGTATGATTAATATGCAAGATAATAATTGTGACATAAATGAAATGATTTTACAATTAGGCATTGATAATTAATTAGACTTAACAGTAAAAAAAGTCGATTTGTCGAGTATAAACTTGCCATTAATTGATAAAAACTAATAGCATGTGAAGAAATATTAAACAGATGGCGTAAATAACTTGTAAACTATGATTCAATATTGGAAAATAGAAACATATTTGTTACAGAGAAAAGATAAACAAAGAAGTTTTGAGTAATAAAATTATCATTTTATCTCTTCGTATAATTTCTCACACTCAATGTTGCTATTCTCGACAAAAATGGATTGAGAGTTATCATAATGTAATATACTAGATATTTGAATGTCAAAAATTATTATTAGGCTTTATATTATGCAAAGCAATAACAGTAAGCTTGAAACACTCAGATTAAAAATATACTTTAACTAGCTAGTATTTATTTTTATACTAGACTTCATAGACCTGCCTATGACAAGCAATTTTTTAGTAGTAACCAATTACCACACGGTGTTTTAGAAATGTCTCGAAAATTCGATTGATTCAGCTGTTCTGCAAACGCTTACGTTTATTTAGGCTGTGATGTATACTTATCTGTTGAGACTACATAGCTTGCTTGTCCTATATTTTGGAAAAAATTGATTAACCCATTCTTCTTGAATTATTATTTACATGTGTTTTGAACTTGTCACTGATTCGCTTAAAATCCTGATTTGTTTTTATTTGAGTGCGTATGTTGTGAATTGCTCACTTCGTTCGTTGCATGTCTAGTTTATTTTTGTTGGACTCTAAATACTTAGTCATGCCTCATAGCATGGAATTGGACGCCTCACCTTCTCCGTTTCACTTTACTTCACTTTTACGATTCTATTTATTGTCTACCTGATCATGCGAATATATGAAATATATTCATTCAAAATAAACCGTATTAGACTTTTATTAACCACTGTCACACAAACAGGATTCGTCTAAGAGCGACAAATTCGAAACAGACCCCGACCCATTAAAAGATACTTTGTTTTTAAATAAATTAAGAATAGTAAATATAACGACTGGGATCGCGTTTATCCTTACTTGGTAGCTGTTACTTCGCACACTTCTAAACATCCTGAAACTTACGTTCCACGTACCTAAAAGAATGGTTGTTCTGGTTGTCAGAAAAGGCATCGGCCCAGTGACTTCCGAGGGAAATCGGCTTTGATCACGCGACGTCATAATTCTTCTTCCAACTCCCAGGGCAGAGTTAAAATGGTTTGAATTATTTTATCTGGTTAGCGTTTTTTCGGCAAGTTAGTTTTTTGACGGGATGGAGTCGCCAACCCCATGCTCAACCCTCCTCCTTTATCCGGGCTTGGGACCGGCGATAGCCTAGAAGGGTCTACAGGCGGAGTTAAAACATCCTGAAAGCCAATATCATACTATACAAACATAATTTCTCCAAACAAACTTAGGTCATTAAGCTATTTTCTCAACTAATTTTATTGTCATTAATAAATAACTTTTATTGTTCGACAAAATTTTTTCTAATTAATTTTCAAAAACCAATGTATGATTCTTAGTAATAATAATAGTAATAATAACATTAATAATGTCATTTATATATGTATTTATTAATAATTCTGCCAGTTTTTATTTTATTTGTTTTAAACAGATGAGTTTTAGTGACCTTATTCTTCTCTTTTTTTTAAAACAAAAATCTATTGATGTGGAAAAGCCGTAACAGAAAAAAAAGAATTGTAATTAATTCTAAATATATAAATAGGTCAATCATCAACATATGTTTTTTTATTAAGGGGGCAAAAATCAAGTTACATTTCATGTATAGATATATATACATATACTTGGTAGATCTGTAAATCAAATCCACGGAATTCACTAATAAATCAACCAATTTCATTAGATTATAATTGAGAAATAATCTATGAGAAGAAAACTACTACTCATCAGAATAGATAGACTAGTTGAAACAATAAGAAGTGTAACTCATTTTTCATCTTTACAGATTCTTATTTAATTGTTTTGTGTTGTTGTTGATAAAGTTCAACAGAGAGAGATTAATCAATCATGTTAGTAATATTGATGATGACTGACTTTTATACCAGTGAAGAACTTAATTCTCAACCAGTTTTACATTGTTAAATTTCATAACGGAACTTAGCAATATAGATAATTTGATAAACAGTTGATTAGAATAATTCTGTTACTTTAATTAGTTAGGTGAAGATTAAAATCAGTAACTTTAGATGAACATCAATGAACTGTGGTATCTAACAAAATAACTGGAAAGTTTAAAACTGGAACGAGACTTCTTGTTTAGTTGTCCATAGTTCTCATTAGTCGTTAGTCAGTTTAAACATCAATGCATAAACTTTATTTGAAATCAAGAACCCTTAGAAACGTGAGGGCACCGAATGGCCGTTTCTTCCCCATATGGGACTCATCGCCAATGCTCATCCACAACCCAGAAGATGAGATTTGGAATCAGGTGGTTTAACATAGATCGATTCACTATTTCAATATAAGTTAACAATTTCTACAACCCCATAAAGACATATCGGAAAGAGGCTTCGGTTAGAAGTTATTAAAGGCTTTTCAACTACACGAATAAACAGATCCCAAAATTATAATTTCATATATCGTAATTATATGCACATGCTTCAGTTATGCATGCCGAATTATGATGAACACATATTGAACAATTTAATTGACCACAGTAATGATCACTAGTTTAAAATGAGAATAACCACCAAAATCAAACAAGAATTCGTTGTATAGAATTACAAACCGTTTACCAATATTGATGATTGATTTTCAGTAAACTAGAACACATAATCTTCAACCTATTAAACCTTACTAGATATGTTTCTCACTTTGGTTACAGTTCATAATGTAGACTAATGTATTACAACTCTACAGTATTCTATATCCTTACTGAATTCGAACACCCAAAAGCACCAGGACTTGATATAATATATGATCAAAAATATGCAATATTCATAAATTTAGGAAGGCTAGTAAAATCCATGCCACAAAATCATCCATCTAAGCATCTCTAACACATTTTGAATATATAATAGCTATCACAGTCGATCATTACTTGATATTATTTAGTAATGAAATTCAATCCACGATATTATTCGACTGCATTGGTACGCTTCAATAGAAACGTTTTGACGTGAAAGCGTCGTTGGTTGAAAAAAAATGTATATTGTATTTTCTGAAAAAAATGTATTAGACTATATAACGTTTTTTTCGAAAACATCACACGACTTCTAACGTAGATATATATGATATTAAGGACTGCGTTTGATCAATTTCTACCAACAAATGTACATTTATCTCTGAGTTGTAATTGATGTATTCAGTATTAACTTGTACTATCAAACAATAATGATTTTCTATTGGAAAACTGAATATGGTAATGAGTTAATTCTATTTAATGTCTGACAATTAAC